TAATGTACTGTCATAGAACATACAGTTTTAATTCCACTCGAATGTTGAAAAATTCCGATCTCAATCCGTTTAATCCCGTATTATAATTTCGCCACTGATATCTCTGACATTTTCCGTTTAGTCTCCAGTTAGCGTATAAATTTTCGAAAATATTATCGTTGTACGTACACGTAAAATTATGCTTTTCTATTTACTAAAATTCCTCAGATGTAGATTGGTCAGGATAAAAAAAAAGATTTTTGTGAATTTTACTGTGGGATAATATAATATCAAGCAACGTGCCACCGTATTCCATGCGTTACAGTCGCCATTTAAGCCGCGATGCTTGAAGAGTAAGATGGACGACGAAGGATTTGTAAGACATAACGTAAAAAAAATGATGTTATCGCTAAAGCAGAAAAACTTCTTTCCTAGTGCGCGTACAGTATGCCGTAGCATTTCGTCACATTTAAATGACAATTATTACAAAATAAAAAAAGAACGAGCATTATACAAGTAGCCGCTAACATTAATAGAATTCTCTTTGGCGTTATTATGTAAACACTCGAGTAGTCTCCGTTCTCGTTTCGACGAACAAAGAGAAGCATGTAATACCCGTTAAATAAAAAAAGAGCATGTGACCATCTTGGACTTATAGCGAATTTACCATTACAATAATATATTAATACTATTGACATTGTTGAGAAAAAGGATCTACATGTAAATATATAAGCATAAAGAGCATTTTTATAAATAATTGTGGCTATTGTCATTTCAAGTGAGAAATTTTCCTCTCCACCTCTCCTTAGATATCCATGCAAATTTACATGCAAAAGGTATAGAAATTTTGACTTTTAATTTGATTTTAGACTTTAGTAAGTACATTTTCTAAAACACGCGAAAAAAGTAAAAACTTAACAAACGCATAACAACCTTCATCTTATTACATGCATCCGATTGCATATTAAATTATACATTTTTCTAATTTCTACAACTAATGTTGTAAAATTTTAAATAAATACAACAAAATGACAATATAAAGTTTCTAATAATTATTTTAGTGTAATTTAATACGTTTTATTAAAAATATATTAACTTATAGAGTTTTTATTAAAACTAATGGCAAATATAATTACATTTAATAGTAACACATTGCAGTTTTATCTATCTTTTTAATTATGGAGTTATGTCCCCCTGTCCCTGCCTACCCGAATCCCCTGTATATCTTATCCATTTTCCCACCTACCCGCGTTTCAACTTTTCGTTAATAAACCTGCAAGTCTTTCGTTAAAACCGCGACAGGATTTATAAAAGGTCCAATTTGGGGTTATACGCACGCGATTTAATAGGGATTTAATAGAACTCTTTTTAATCTCGCACATATGCGAGAATATGTAAAGAAGATAAGAATATCCCACCCGAATTGTGACATATAAGAAGAAATCAACTTATTTCGTACAACACCTTACTTACATACTCCATCAAAGTGGTCAATATTGACCACTTACCTCGTGGTATTCCATCGTTGGACCAGATTGGACCTACCATTCGTTGCTCCTGGCCGTACAGTCTGGTCATTCTGACCAGAGATCAGGAAGGAAGAAAGCTCCTTCCATGGCATAGTCGGTTTATTATCGTCACCAACAAATATTTCGTACGGTTCGAACTATATGCGAGCGTCGATCGTATCAAAATGCACGACCACGAGAAGTTGATTAAAGAAAAAAATTAATTTAAAACATTTGCTGCATAAACTAATCAAATATATTTTTACCTCCGTTATTTATTCAAGAATAGATAATGACTGTCTCTTCGTGACTCAATCTCCAAATTCGAAATTCAAGTATATATGTATATGGAAAAAACAATTTACTTCGCGTTATGTTTATTTTAATTACATTTCGCGATAAATAAAAATTTATAATATGGATGAAATTAAACAATTAATAACTTGTTGAAAATTTTCTGAAAAACGGATCGCGAAGACTGACCGCGAAAATACGAAGATGCGTGTAACTATGCATGTATTCATGCGAGACGCATCTTGAAAGTGTAGCGCGAGATACACGTACAGAATAAATGACGTGAGACCCAGAGAAAAGAAACTTTTCGTACGATAGATAGATCGACAATTGAATATTCTAGTTAATCAATAATCTCAAAAAATGTATAAAAATATTGTAATACAAAGTTTCAGCGTTCTCAACAAAATATTAGAATCTCACGTCATGTTGTTTTATTTTATATATAAATTTGTAAATAAAAATGGATAGCATACAAGAGAATAGCTTGAATGCATAAATAATATTCGTCATCATTTGCGTGAAAATATGTGATGTGATGCAACGAGACATCCAACCCTCCACAGTAAAAATCGCGATCACTCTCTTTCGATAAATAAAATATATAATAATAAATATGAAATAAAATTGTACTTTATCCATTTTAAGGCAATGTATTTACGAGATATACTAATCTACTACTAATATACGATCTACGATCTACGAGATGTAGATACATTGCTTTAATAAAAAAGTTTCAGACTCACCATCCGATGCGCAGCAGCGGAGTTAGGCTACGTTGAAGCTGTAACATAAAAATAAAGAAATCATTAAAGCAGTGTTGAAGGAAATTAGTATTGTAAAATATGAGTAATTCTTATGCGTATCAAACGTTTTATTTGGTTGGATATTAATTCGCAAAAGATTTTCACAAGAGGAAACTTTTATAAGATTTTAAATCATTTCTTCTTCTATAATTATTATTTCCAAATTATATAATTATGAAACAAAACAACTCAGAAATGAACTGGAAAAAGATTAATTTTACACTAGATAAACAATATTTACCTTAAAGTTGCTCCGCTGGCACCTGATGCCTCTCCAAAGCCTCCTCCTCCACTCAGATTGTCCTTTGGCACACTCGCGAAAACACAAAGATCGTTCGCGCGATTTTACACTCCCGTATGTAAAGCCCATGTGAAAGAATGTATTCTGTTCCGTCAAGTTCGTCTCCACTTCGAGTCGACAAGTTTTATACCCGAAAAACTGTCCGATCTCGGAAGTGTGGCCATCGACAGAAATGGACATTTAACGAATACTCGTTCCTCAAATGGGCTTTGAAAAGTCTTTGGTTCGATTATTTAAACGGCACTCCCGAACGCGACGAAAATGGAAACTTTATGTTATACGCGCACTTTTGTACGGATCGCGACAATTAAATGCGATTGATAAATGTTAATAACTCGCGTACGAGACGATCGCGTTACGAGAAACGATGCGAACACTCGCGGAACATCCGCCTTATTCGACTGAGCCTCGTCAACTGATTCGGCACAATAGACTGTTTTTGTTCGAGGTGTTCACGCTACGTAGTTTTTGTTTACGAAGCTACGTCATCAATTCTTGGAATCCACACTCGGTCTACGGCGCTCGGTGAAACAATACAAGGTGATACCGTACGCATGTTCATTCACGCGGTGTCAAATAAATCGATTATACCCGCGCCGCTCTACATATCGTATTATTATTTCTTGATACGCGTTTGCTGAATTTTCGCGATTTGCCATCGATGCTCGGTTAGCCAACAAGACAGAAATCTAACGTGATTCACACATGAGATCTATACATCCAAAAATCAAAGCGCCAGCGAACATGAAATTATTTCTTCATTGCGATAATTACGGATGATAATTGCTTCTTTAAACGATGCTTGTATTCGGATACATCTCGTATCATCGCAGTGAATCTCTCGTCTAACTATTAATGTATCTTTTAAATTAGTTACTAGTTATCGAAAAAATGTAACTGAGTTAAGTTACAGTTACAGATGCCATGGAGAAAAAGTAACGAAATTAAGTTAGAGTTGCTAAAAAAAAGTAACTGTAACTGTAACCTCATTACAATTAACTAACGAGTTACTTCCCAATCCTGTGTATCGTGAACATTCTATTCGATTTTACGCATGTAACAAAATGCAAAAAATCGATATGTTAATTACTGGCTTCAACACAGCCCCATTTTATTTCGTCTACAAATTTGAAACACCTCTAACATTTAGCTTCAATCGTTGGTACACCTTCAACGTTTTACGAACAGTTGCTAGGCTACGATCTATCTTATCAGCACTCGAGAATGTGTATTTTAGTTATTGATCGTTGTTCAGTTCATTTCGCATCGCCACTCCCGTAAGATTCTAGTTTAACATTGCGCAACACAATGTCCGTAAGTATATGAGATTTGTAATATTCATCGTACATTGGTAGACTCGAAATAATATGAGATAAATCTTTAATTATCCTAACTTATTCGCTATATTGTTGGAGGTTTTCATAGTACATATATAATAAAACAATGAAACTATTTAATCAGACATAGTACATATATAATAAAACAATAAAACTATTTAATCAGACAATGAAAATATTTAAACAAATATTATCCCTGTAATTATTTTCTTATCGTTGCATGATAAAAATACGTGAGACATGGTACATTATACAAGTTGTCTCGTCATCGTTACCTAAAACTTTGAGTTATTATGTAGTAATGTTTCTTTAACCTCATAATATTAAAACATGTCACTGGTTACTATTCTCAGTCGAAAAGATAACGATTATAAAAACTAAAAGAAAATTTATAAAATATATTAATTACAACTTATTAGACTTCTTAATTACAAAATAATATACTAAATGTGTTTATATCACACGTGCACGGAAAAGTGCCTCTTTTTTGACAGTTTTTCGTGCCCAAAATAGCCATTTGCCGACACAATACAGTTTGCACGCAACATGGCGTCAACTGTACGGAAAAAGCCGTGCGGTAATAATTATTACCGCACACTTTATCGCTGTCTTCGTTTATCTCCCAGCACAATTGCCGATCTCTCTTCCACACGCCCTGTCAAACGAGCAAAGTTTAGAGATGTGCGCATGCTCGCCAAGTGTGCATCGCATGCGCGTGTTGCAGCGCTTGCGCATGTCACTATACTTCGTCTTCGACAGATGACAGGTTAGCCTCAAAGTTTTTACACGTAATTAATATAGTGACATTAAGCAATGACATCAAATATGAGTGTCATAAATGAGACAGATAGTGAGAGCCTTACACCTGCAGAAGTAGTGGAAACTGCTAAAACCGCAATCGAAAATCTCTTGCCGGAAAAATCAAAAGAAAAATATACTAATGTCTATAATAAATTTATGGACTGGAGAACTAAAAATAAAGTTAAATCATTCTCTGAAAATACACTCTTAACGTATTTTATGGAAATGTCACACAATCACAAACCAACCACTTTGTGGGCAAATTACTCGATGCTGAAGACCACCCTGAGCATCAACAATGACATTAACATTCACAATTATAAAAATCTTACGGCATTTCTCAAAAGAAAATCACAAGGATTTCAATCTAAAAAATCACAAGTTTTAACACCAGAACAAATTCAAAAATTTCTGAATGAAGCTCCTGACGATAAATATTTGGATACAAAGGTAAATATCATATCAAAATTAAAACATACAAATAAATTTTTATAATCAACAAAAAAATTTATACATAATTTACACGTATACTCAATTTACAGGTAGCTATGATTTTTGGAATTTGTGGCGCATGTAGAAGAGAAGAACTGACCCAAATAACAATTAATGATATTGAAGACAAAGGATCTATACTGCTAGTAAAAATTCCAAAAACAAAAAAGTACAAACCAAGATCCTTTGTAATAACCGATGAATTCTACAGCATTTTTAAAAAATATATAACTTTGAGACCAAAAGATGTCGAAAATTCAAGATTTTTCCTGAATTACCACAACGGACGATGTACTAAACAACCAATTGGACTAAATAAATTTGGCAAAATACCAAGAATCATAGCATCATATCTTAAACTACCAGATCCTCAATCATACACTGGCCATACTTTCCGTCGCACTTCCGCAACATTGTTAGCAGATTCTAGAGCTGATATAATAACGTTAAAGCGACACGGTGGTTGGAAATCAAATACAATTGCCGAAGGATACGTAGAGGACTCCTTCAATAACAAAAAGAAAGTATGCAGCCAAATAACACGTTCAATACTGAATAAGCCCAGCACTTGCACTTCACAAGAATCAGAAGCAAGTATTAATAATCCATCAACATCAAACTACACACTAAACAAAGAAGTAGTAAAACCCATTAACATAAACTCTGTAAATAAGGAAAATATGCAGATATCAAATGAAGAGTTACCCGAAACAAAAATGTTTCAATCTCAGTAAGCAACTGCCAAAGCGTTAACATAACGTTTAATAGATACACAAAAGAAGACTGATTTTTTTATTTATTTCTGTGTTTTATTTTAATTCTGTTTTTATTTTAATTTTATATTTTTATTTTATAATTCTATGTTTTTATTTTAATTTAAGTTCTTATTTTATGTTCTTACTGCGCAATTTTATTCTTATGTTACGTTGTACATGTAAATTTCTGAACAAATTATTTTCAGTAAGAGATTCAGTAAGAGATCAAGAGATCAATTATATTAAGAAAATTTATATAAAAATAAATCTATATTAAAAAAAATTATGCTACATTTTAATTCATTTCTGTAATTTTTATTTCCATGTTCTTATTAATACATGCAAACAAATTTCATTTCAGCTCTTTTTTTTCATCTTATTCATGCTTTTTTAATTGAACCTGCTTTGTAAGTGTTGGGGGGGCTTCGCCCCCTCGACCCCTACCGTCTCCTCCTTCCGTTTTGTACGCACTCGCCTTCGGCTCGTGCGTTCCCCCCGTCCTCTACTTCCGTTTTGTATGCACTTATAATATAAAATAGTACGAGATACATGTGCAGGAGATTGGCTATTTCCCGCACATGTATCACAATATACTATTAATTCTACAAAAATATTACCAGTAAAATATTCTAGAATTTATATTCTGATTAATTAATTTATCTGACAGTATAAGAAATAAGTGATTTTTAGAACAAAATCTTTACTTCAAATAAATCTTTCCCGTAGATCTTCCTTACGCAGTTCTTATTCTTAATTTCCCGCGCGCGCGCGCGCGAAAAAATAAGAATTCTAGGAAAAATATAAAATAATTTAGTTCCTACGAGTGTGACTATTTATTAGATCCCTGACTACAGAGATCTAATAAATCCTAATTCTAAACTTTTATCTTTTAACGAGCAAACATTTAGAAATAAAACGAAAGTAAATGTTTTTAAATTTTGATGCATTTTGTTAACAATTCTTATCACACAATAACTATAATTTTATATTTGAAAAGCCATCATACACAGGGTGTCTCATTTTTAATGATCCACGAAAATATCTCCAAAAATATGAAAGGTACGGAAAAACGTTTCAAACAAAAGTGGTTCGAAGGAGAACATAAGGTGGTGTATAGCCAGTATATACATATTGCTAAAGATAAGAAATAAAACTGAATAAAACAAAGGAGAATTTTTACGTAATATTGGAGACAAGTGATTTTATAATTACAGCGGTTGCCATACACCTACAGAGGCCTCATTGTTCCCGTATTCACTCCTTTCAATGATAATGGGTAATTAACTTATGTCCTTAAATTTTAGTATTAAACCGAATAATAATAAACTGTCATTTATTTAACAGATCCCTTGATTTGGACGGTATACCACAATATGCGACGTATCTAGCAAAGAAAGGAATCAAAGGTGTACTCGGTAGGTCCCCTTTAAAGACAATTTTAATTATATAATATTTAATGCATTAAATATCTGCCGAAAAAAATCTGTGCATAAAACTTATTTTAAAAAAGAAAATACATGCAAAAATTATGTAAAAATTGAAATGGTAACTTTTCGCAAATCTGCCACATCTCTCTTTGCAGTTAATGGTACAACTGGTGAAGGAATGTCAATGTCTGTTGCCGAAAGGAAACTTGTTGCCGAAGCCTGGGCAAAGGCAACGAAAGAAGCAAAGCAACACTTGATGGTTCAAGTAGGAGGTGCCTCTTTTCCCGATGTTATCGAACTTGTAAGTATAAACAAAGCTAGCCATACACGCTTTCCATAAGACGTAACAATAAACAGTAAAACAGTTTCGATCAATCGCATTATTCAATTTGGCCGTCCGTAATCAAGTCGAGCAACTCGAGTGGTCAAAATCTTACTGTTACATCTTCTGGAAAGTGTGTGCGTGGCCAGCATAATTACTATACGCGGAGAACGAAATGTATCCCAACAATGCGATGAAATAATCAAATGAAAAAACGATTCATAGGCAAAACATGCAAGTAGTCTGCACGTGGATTCTATACTTTGCTTACCAGAATTGTACTTCAAACCTACCACCCCTGAACAACTGATTAAATACTTGGAAACAGTTGGCAAAGCAGCGCCGGAGACACCGTTACTATATTACCATATTCCTGTGAGGACTAATGTTAACAGTAAGCATCTTTTCAATATATTTTAAAATATACGTATATTGGATATAATCAGCTGACATAATTGACAAAATTGATATTAGATACGCGTATTGTATACTTGAATAAACATTTTATAGTACACATGGGACAATTCCTTGAATCGATTGGTGATAAAATACCCTCGTTCGTGGGCATAAAATTTACTAGCTCCAATTTAGAGGAGGGAGCTCAAGCGCTACGTGCCGCTAATAGAAAATATACTATTTTCCTCGGCAATAATCAGGTAACGAGCTCGTAATGTTTAAGGCTAGTGGATCAAGCGTATAGAAAATACAACTTGGTCAGTAATTCCTATTTGTTTGCCGATTTATAGTTACTAGCGATATTCTACAATGTATTATTTTTAGGCTCTTTTTTATTTCAGTGCAATGAAAATATATTTGTTCTGGTCTGATTTTCCAGTTAGTAAATGCCGCGTATGCACTGGGGATGGATTCCTTCATATTAAGCAGCGCAAACATGTTTCCGGAACTTGTATTGGAGCTTCTTACACTTTGCAAGAAAAGAGATATGTTAAAAGCTAAAGATAAGCAAGAGCAGCTTTCGAACTCTGTAGCTGTTATAATGAAACATAGTAAGTATAAATTTTACGTTTAACAAAGCGCACTTAGTCAAAATCGTTTATTTGTAGATAATCAGGCACTGATGACAAAACTGGCAATGCATATTCTTACTGATATTAATCCAGGAGCACCTCGCGCGCCACCTAATATGTGTGTTACACCTGAAACTGATTCGAAAAATCTAGCAACTCTGATACAAGATTTATCAGACTTAGGATATGAACCACGTCTTATTAAATGTAATATTGTTTAATTATCTCACTTGTTCGATGTAATAACAAATATATTTTGTGCTGCCGGCTGGGTCGGAGTACGGTAATCGGGGATCGTTGCCGGAATTACACTCACAACCGAAAGGCCATAAGCCAGTATTTTTACCAAGTTCTTTATTAAACTCTGATATCGACACGTACACTCGTACAGTTCATTTTAGATTGGCCCGCCTTCCTTCCTTTCCATTCCATTTTATATCAACCGCGCTTGGCCCTGTTGTTAGGCCGTTTATTGGTTAGTAAGCGGTTTTTCCCTTAGTAACTGTATGCGCGGCTTCGATGGTTTCGTACTTTGTTCCGGGTATTCGTTTTCGTCGCATGCGGCAGGGGTTATCTGACACCTTGCCGCGTGCGAGGTCGTCGTCTGATGTGCGGTGCATCGCACTCATGACAATTTAATAAGAGGCCAATATTTTTCAAGTAAAAATTCTTAAAGTTAAAAAGCATACATAGGGTAAAGGCAGGCATTATAGCCAGGCGGGTAATATGGCCACAATGCCCGTATTAAATATTCTAAACATTGATAAACATCGATAATATGTATGACAATTATAAAAACCAATTCTTGTAGCTATTCTTAAAGTTTGGTAACAAGAACCTCTCTATTTGTGGTTTGGTGCTTCATTGTTCTCTACAACCATCAAAATATACACGTCAAAGTGAGACATGGCACTTCCAACTAATAAGTAAGATTTTCAAATTAAAACAAAATAATTTTGGCTTTTCTCATTACACATTTCAAAACCTGAACCTTGGCTATATTTTTATAATAAATTTATCGTGCTTTGCCCATTGTTTTGATAATTATAATGCACATTATTAAATGTATGCTTGGCGGCTAATATGGCCAGCGACAAAGGTAGCTAATCCGTGCTTTCCAGCAAGCGACACAAGTCGACACAAGTGTCGTTCTGTCTTTATTATTCATTGAATGCGAAGAAAGACAGAACGACATTTGTGTCGACTTGTGTCGCTTGCTGGAAAGCACGGAATATCA